GCTTAAAAGCCCGACCCCAGGGTGGATCTCGCTCTCTCTCTCTTGCCACACATTCACATTCATTCCATGTTTGTTCGTGCTACGGTTGTGGGTGCGTTGTTCAAATAAATCATTGTTACCTCAATTTAAGGTGTTCTTTCTCATATTTGTCATGGCCATGGAGCCAGGTTATGACAGAGGCAAGCAGATTAATTCAGGTATAACTGATTCTACCCAACCTAAGAACCCTCTGGATTTTTTTAATAAGCTCCACAACAAGAAATGTGGTAAAACTAAAATAAATATTGGAGATTTTTTTTAAATGGTGAGAGTTTAGAATGCAGAAAGGTTGCAAGATCGATGCAGAGCTGGCTAAACACTGAAGCTTCTTCGTCCACGTCATGGCAACCTGCGTTGACCTAGACTGTAGGGTGGAGGGGGCGGGTGGAGCTGGCTCTCTTCAATGTTTTGAATTTGGACTCTACAGTGCCCGTTTTAATAAACACTAGGTGTCAGAGTTACACATTGCCCCTTCATGAAGGAAAACCAGTGAGCATGCGACAGGGTCATGGGAGGCCACGTCTCATGATGGGTGTGTGGAGAAAAGGCTGGTCTGTGTGGTCTGAAAGCAGGAAAGCTACTGTTGCTCAAATTGTTGAAGAAGTTAATGATGTTTCTGACAGAAAGGTATCAGAACACAAAGCGCCTCAATGGGTCAGTGCTGTTTTGGTGGAAAAAGCGGGGACATAGACACTAATAATGTTGTTGCTGATCGCTGTGTATCAGTGCTCATGGAATGTCTCTTGCTCAATCAAATTACTGGGTGGAACAAATTGTGGCATGCCATCCAAACAAAGGAAACTGCAATGAAGTTTTAGTGTGTTGTCCGAGCTTCATCATTTCACACTACATTAGAGAGCTTTACAGTTACAATTCCTAAAGTGAAAAAGGGAGAAGCTCAGATAGACCTTGAACTAGAACGTGTACTTAAGGTCTCTTTGAACAGTGAGGCAGAGAGCAGTCACATTTCCATTCGATAGTATGATCCAAAACAAATGATATGTGTTATTTAAATAGAAGTTGCCATTAACAGACAAGAACTTTCAACTGTTGAGTTTTTACGCTCTCTTTGTTTTTGTTTTTTAAGTCTGCTACAATTTTCTCAGGATTTTCAAATTCTTCTTATCTCTGTTGACATGTCTAGCTGATATCTAATTAATGATCCTAATCCCTAATAATCAACAAGTTACAATCACTGATAATTAGCTCTGCTCCAGTTGTTTAAGAGTACAAGCCTGGTGGCATCTCATGTAATCGAGATAAGCTAATCACTGCAACTCTATTGGCACTAAAGCTAAGTGGCCTCCATGTGTGTGTGTGTGTGTGTGTGTGTGTGTGTGTGTGTCCATGTTGAGTGGAAGCCTCCCTGGGTAACCAGGCCTGGCTGACTGCCCTCTCGCAGGAGATCTTCACGATTACTATTAAAAAAAAATGACTCACAGATTGCACTACTTTTATACCCTAATGTACAATTTGTGTGATTGTGCACAGTCCCACTCCCACAAGGAAACCACATGCATGTTGGGAAAGTTGTTTCTTTCCTTAAACAACTGGAGATCGTGAGCCTACTAATGGAACATTAATGCCCGAGTTTATAAGAAATTCTGCATTCTTCCCTCATTTCTTCCCTATAACTCAGCCCTCATTGTTTTACCAACTGACAAGTGTTTTTAAGCCAAAACCTCAAGAAGATGAGAGAGGGAACATGGCCCACAAACTGTGAAGTGATTTACTGTCCACTTACATATCCCGAACACATAATGCAACCAGCGAAAGTGTCCAATTTTTCAAGCCTTAATCCCTTGGATGAGAGGGGACTTCACATCCTCCAAGAGAAATTTTGGCTCCTCGATGATTTCTGATTACACAGACGTTCCTCCTCAAACTTCCACAACCTTCTCCTGTTTATACTTGAGCTAAACTGTCACAATTATGCGGAGAGAATAATCTTCACGACACAGGACGGTGTATACTTCTGAAAACCCGCATGCAGTAGATCTTTTCTGTGGCTCTCCTCCTCATCCACAGTGAGCGGTTGATCCTCCTTAATGGAGGATCACCTGGAAAAAACGAATGGTGGAAACACGAGGGGATTAAGGGGCTATTCTTAGGGTTTCTTTATCATCTGTTGCATTGCCTAATCCTCTCTATTCACTCATACTCCATTTATCAAAGCGTAGGGATATAAAAACACAAAAGAGCAACACATGTGTAGGAAGTTCAAATGGGGAGAAACACAATCAGCATATATGTATATGCATGTGGATACATTTGTGTGTGACTAAAGTATTGGTTTTTTTTTAACCCCGATCACATAAATGACACCAAATTATAATCCAAAATGTTACCCAGCTTGCTTTGACTATTTCATTTTACAGGACAAGCCTCAGCAGACTTTAGCCCGAAGCCAAATGCTTCTTCAAAGAGACTGAACAATAGACAATATGACATTTGTTCTCTTAGATGTCAATCAACTGCCCCTGCCACTAATTGGACAAATGGACCCCTCGCTGGGCTGTTTTTTGGACTTTGCTCCTGATTTTTTACATAACTTGGCAGATGTTCTGGGAACTTTGCCAAAATCCTTCTGAACTCAAAATGTAGCTTCATTATTTCTGGGATAAAAAGGAGAACATATGATAGTGAAATATCAGCACACATTTCTACCATACGCCTTACATTTCTATCAATCTTAGGATTTTATTTATTATTGTTTTATTATTAAGTAATATTTTGAAAGTCTTATAAGGGGCTACAATCAGTGTAAATGTTTTTAATTTTTAATCCCCTGTTATTGAGACATGCTTCCCCATGTGCCTGACTTGCACAAACTCGACCTGTGGACATGCATTGATGGGGCAGTGGCGGTTCTAGGCCACTTTTACTGAGGGGGCCAAACTGGGGCCAGTTGTTTTGTCAGAGGGGAACATTAAACCCAGGTGAAAAATATATTTTGCCAAATAATAGCTCACATCATTAAATACCATGATTTATATTTGTTTCAGTCACAGTATTTAGTACTAGTTTGTGAGTCCGGTTGTTGAGTCAATACTGTGTATGTGTTACTAGGTGGGGGCTCTTCCTTTTGGAGGGGTGGCCACAGGGGGGACCAAGCTCCGTGTTAGAGGGGCACTGGCCCCTGTTGGCCCCTGCCTAGAACCGCCCATGTGATGGAGAGATGTCAGACATCACTGCTACACAGTGAGCTTGCCATGAGCTGTTTGGTGTGCTCAAGGGCACCTTGTCTGTAATCGTTAAGTGACCTGGCACCTCTACAGCTACAAGACCAACTTCAAGCAACATACTTTGGTCCGCACCGGGACTCGAACCGGCAACCTTCGGTTCACAACCCCAAGTTCCTACAGACTGAGATACTGCCGCCCCCCAAATATACACACAAATGTGAGGTATTCTTGGTGTGCTTCCTTAAGATTCTGATTATGTACTGCAGCATTCCCACTTTGAATCAAACAGGGAACTCTGTTACCCCACTACCAATCATTTCTTGTATTTTACTAAATCATGAAAACAACTGAACAAATACAGTAAATAAAAAAAAAGTAAAGAACTTGAAAAAAAATGATTGTCTAAACCTTTAGGCCTCTGGCCCATATCCCAGAATGAAAAATGTTAAATGTTGTTCCCAGGAAGCACACATCCTCAAAGTAAGGGAGGACACTTTTTTAACCTGACAACCTTTAACCTGATCCTTTGAGGTAACTTGGATTCAGTCACATCCTGCTAAAGATACACACCCAAAGCTGGAGCAGAAATAGGTGAATGACTTCCAAAGGGCAATAACATACAAATCTAAAACCACTCCACTTAAGTGACACGCTGTGCAACTCTCTTTTTCTCAGCTCTCATCTCATATGAATTTGACCTCTGTATGTACTTGGCTCTGACCCTTTCTCGAAGAAAACAAAATACTGTGAATTTGGACTGACTCATGTCTACATATGTATGTAGAAGAGTGCCAAAGAAAGCCATGTTTACTTCAAAATCAAGCAGGGGGATTTGGACTGCACGCTCCTTTTCTAGAAGACACGCGGCCCAGGCATCCCACCCAGCAGGATCTGCAGAATGAACCCAAATACAGCTGCTTTTCTATTCCTTTCACCAGCCCCTGAGGATGCTAAAATCAAGTTTATAAAGATAATCAGCGCAAGCCTGGACACGACATGCTCAATTACGCAAAACATAACAACTATGGGATTTTCAGAGGTCTATGACACTTCATTCATGCTCAAATGCATTTCAGTCACTCAAGTTTACTAGAAATCCATCATACAAGGCTCTTCCCCCTCTCGTACTACGATCTTATGTACAAAGTTTTGTTTTGACAGGTTGAGGAAAATCCTCCACCAGCATGTTGTACTAGATGCCAGGGAACCATTGGGAGGATATGAGGGAACTGGATTGTTGTAGCAGGAGCAAATAAAAAGAAAGAAAAACAATAAAAAAAAAAAATCATTCTAAAAAAAAATGACACCAACACTGCACAACATAAAAGCAAATGATTCATTCATAAAGCATACTGTACAGCGTTGACCCCCATTGTTACTGGCTTCAAACTATTTATGGATTTTTTTAATGAATCCTCCTTTTATAGGCATTTCATATTCCTGCACAAGTAAAGATGACTTTAGTTATTTATTCATTTTTAATTATCCATGTACTACTCCAAGATGGTGCAATACATATCCCACAGACTCTCAAAAAAAAAAAAACTGTGGACTGCACAAAGCAATAAAATACGGACTGTTAGAATGAAATAATAAATAATATTTAGGTAGCCGAAGCAAAGTGGCAACTCTGTCTGTCCTGCATGACAACGGGACAGATGCTGAGGGCCCCTCCCCTCCAGCAACAACTTAATTACGAGTTACTGTCTGTCTTTCCCCGGAGCGAACTGCCACAGAGGAAGCAGCCATCCAGTACACCCACCCACCCACACACACACACACACACACACACAGACACACAGAGTGCAGTAAGAGTTCAAGCGCCAGTGTGCGTTTACTACAATTAAGGAGAGTAGAAGTGTTCTTTTGGGGGAAGTGTTCTGTTTATTCATCCACTTTACTTCTGGTCGGGACGCGGTCGCAGCGAGTGTCCTACTGTTTCTGTTTGCGTCAGCTAATTAAGGAGAGTGAAAGTGAGACAGAGCTGGATGCACAGGTAAGATAACGTAGCCTAAATACTTTCTTGAGTCCATATAAGACTTATAAAGCACAGCTAGCCCATCAGGGCGTAGTTCGAATAATTGCACTATTCATCAGATTGCCTGTCCTCGCGATATAAATGGGTCTGTATTGTTTTCAGGCTGTGATCGTTTCTCAAGTTTTCTCTGTATAGCCTCGGCTTATAAACTGAAAAATATTTAATCTGACTGTCTTTTTTCCCCCTTTTTATATTTTCGACTATATTAGGCTATATATTTCAATTTTTAAACGGTTTTTGTTGTTGACATGTCTGTTTCTAAGACAAGTTTCCTAACTTATATTTAGGCTATATAAAACAATCTTTCTAAATTCAGCCTTTTACATAACAGTGTTTAAACTTCAACTCTAAAAATGTTGAGAAAGCTTTGAAAGCATTGTGACAACTAACTTTTTAAAGAATAAAAGGCATTCTGAAAAGATTTAAGGATCATATAAAGATTTTTCTCTTTTGGAATACTTTAATTGTAACAGTAAATCATCTTTCTACTACAATGAAAGTGTTGTAATTCTTAACTGTGCAAGCAGCAATGGGCTGATGATGTTTGATGACTTTTACATAATGATTTAGGTAGAGAGGCACAGACACAGTTAATATAGAGATAAGTTGAGTGGTAGAATTTGAAGTGTGGGCTCCAAAAACTCTCTAATTGAGTGTTTCTTGGCTCACTTCTAGTTCCTGATCCAACAAATTCCCATTGCCAACATGTTGCAGTGAACAGTTCTGTTTGATTATTATAACAGAGTTGTTAATTATGAAGTTATCAAGCTATTATTCTCCTTCAGTGTCAAGAACCAACTCCCCACTTACTGCACTTAAGGGTTTAATAATCCAGCCTCTTACAAGGCGGAGTGGTTGAGTGTGTGCTATGAGAGATTTGGAGAGAAGAGTTGTGTGGTGTTGTTTTCTCTGGTACTGTTCTGGGGTTTTAAAGCAAGGCGAGGCAAGTTTATTTGTATAGCACATTTCAACAACAAGGCAAAGCAGCAAGACAGAGGCACATAAATGATTCATGTATGGCATCACAGACACATAATTCAGAAAATCATGTCTGATTTTGATCAGATTGTCACTGAGGTGATGTCTCCCTGCTGTGAGTAATGCAGACTGCTAAATGTAAGTACAGTTTAGAGGTTCAGTACAGATCAGACCGCTGAAATCAAAGTCTGGAGAACATGTGTGTGCTTTGAGGACTTTGAAGTGATCTTTGACAAGTGAAAACTCGTTTTTGTAGATGAAATTGTATCTTGACCTAACTTCTGTTTGAGTTGATTGGAGAAGTGGATTTGATAAGTACTACACATATTGTAAGACTCATGGAAGAGTTTTGGTATAGGTTGTGTGGGTTCCTCTTCTAGATATACCATATCTCCTCTACTGTGCATGCAGTGTCAACCCTTTGGCCTCCTGGGTGTTCTGTATGGCATGTCCTAAGACGCTGACTAGACTCTTCTCCTCTGTCGCCCCCCGGTGGTGGAATGAACTTCCAAACTCCATTGGATCTGCAGAGTCCCTCTGCACCTTTAAGAAAAAGCTAAAGACCCAGCTCTTTCATGAATACCTACTAACTTAATGATGATGGTCTCCATATTATTGATGATGATGATGATGATGGTAATGACGATGGTTTTTGTTTGATAACGACGACTTATAAGATGGTTTCTATACTGATTAGAGCTCTCAAGAACTGCCCTCAATGTTGTGCTTTGCCTCTGGTCACTTCCTGTCAGCACCTGTGTGTCCAATCAGACTCAAAGCTGATCGTTTACTCTTACTGACATTGTTCCCTTTTTTCTAGATCCTTGCTCGTGTTGTACTTACTCTCTGATGTACGTCGCTTTGGATAAAAGAGTCTGCTAAGTGAATTGTAGAATTGTAGAATGTTGACAAACACAGCATCAACATGTAGCTGTGTTTTAAATGGCCTACAGCGTCGATCCTGAGCTTTGAAGCAGCTTCACTCGGTTCTTTCCTGGACGGTGATGAAAGGTAAAAAAAAAAAATTGAAGTGCAAAAAGTGTACTTTCTCAAAACTCAACAGGATTCGGGTGGAAAAAGTTATTAAAACATACTTGTAGCCATGCTTCACACTAGCCCAAGCCTTTTATGGTCATGTTTCCAGAATCCTTCAGCGCATGGAGACAAAGCAGCTCAAGCCAACCATTACTGCGGTGCTGATGTTACTGTGTTTAGAGAGTCTACAACGGCTAGGTGCCAATGACTTGCAGACAGACAGCTCGACTGGGTTCGCCTGCTCAGCAGCTCTGTGGCCTCTGTGTTTCCTCTGAACTGCACCGGAGCCTGGAGCCCATGTGGAGGTGACCACATTACTTAAGCCTGGGAAAAAGAACAAAAGAGCTATACTTCCCACATTTCTAGAAAACCTTAAAGCTCTTGAGAGGAGTTGTTGCATAGCATGCTTGGGTGTACCCCCGTATCCTCAGGCCATCAGCGGAGACAAGTGAGAGCACTTCCAACTGTCACTCACTGTTTTCATATCCTCTTGCTCCCATCTGCTTACCTCAGGATGGTATTAGCTTACACACACACACACACACACACACACACACACACACACACACACACACACACACACACACACACACACACACACACACACACATGTTCATAAATGAAGACTCTCATGCACATGCACATTCACAGGTCATGACTTGTTCAGCATGAGTACATTTTTTTTGTGTTGTTCCTTATCAACAAACCTATCAGCATGTTTATGCTGTTATCTCAGTTACATGGATGCTTCTCGGTTTTGAATTGCTTCTCTGCTTTGTTCCCAACTGTTTTTTTTTTCTGTTTCTATCTTCTCTGTTGAAAAGAGCTCGACCACAGATCCAGTATCACTCTCCCACCTTTCTCATTCACCCTCGGGTAGCAGGCAAAACAGCAAAGTGAAGCTGTGGGCTCTGCCTGGTGCTGAAAATATGTCAGGGTTATACAGCAATGTTAAAGGCTTTATATGTGATGTTTTCATCCAGCAGATGTCGCCCTTGAGCACCAGCATGAAACCAAAACAACTCGCGCTGCATTGTTGTGTTAGCATGCTAATGCTAGCGATCTTTATTATGCTCGTATCTTCACACTGCATGTAAATTTACCTGAAATGAGCGTGATCTAGAAACACAGTTAAGCAGTGAGTACAGTATGTTATTCTTCTTTTCTCTAGTCCCTCAATTAAACAACTTTTATACACGAGGGGAGGAGTCAGCCGTCCGTCCAGGCGATGTAAACAAAGTGAAGATAGGACTCTGAAAACTCTGAAAACATCACAGACAGTGGGACTCGGGTGTTACACCCATTGTAGACAGTCATGACTCACAGAGTTATTTTCTGAGATATACTTGATTTCTATTACATTTAAGAGTGAAAAATCACATAAAGCCTTTAAACATAAAGTGAGTCCCTAACTAAGTCAGCAGCACATAGCATTATTATCTATATTAATCAATCAACTTTTTCATCGAGTGCTAAACACAACAAATTGTTTCTTACCACACTTACAACGAGAAGGTCCAGAGAGCTGGGTATTGTCCACAACCTCACAATTCAATTCGATTCAAAATCGTAATAAACATAACAGAGCTGTAATGGCATTCACAAAAACGAAATGTAAAATGCTCAACTGTGCCTGACCTGAATTCACAGCACCCACAGTGCCCCCAGTGGAGAGGGGCGTAATTACAACTAAAACAATCAATCTCATGGATTTCCCTGAGTCGATATTGAATTGGGAAAATAATAATTACAATGCATTGATTAATCTTTTTTTTTTTTAACCAGCCCTATAGTCCAGACGGTGTTCAGCGACAAGCATGAATCCACCAATGAGCAAGCACCTGTTGCAAGAGTTGAAAGGGAAGGCAGAAGCAGTCATTGGTGAACAGCCATCTGCTGTGACCTGACGGGCGGAGAAGTAGACAGAATTCATTCGTCTATTATTTCGTCTTTGGTGTATTTAGTTTCTATCAGCAGTTGTCCTGAGTATTGTCTTTTGGGGTGTTTTGAGATAACAGTGTAGGGAGGGACAACATGTGGACAGACAGGACCTCAGGGCTGGAAATTGTATCCACCTCCTTTGGGTTTTTCCCCTAAGATGTACTTTTCACTTCCAAAACGGATGTCCTGGCATCATGCATTGATTTCACACTTTAGTCGTTATGAGCAAACTGGGAATTTCATGAGATTTTTGTTTTCATTCTCAAAAAATTTCAAGTGTAAAAAAAGGGGCAGTGGAACATGACAGGACTGATCTGTTGTGCAACTAGGTCGTTCTGTTATCATACTGCCTCTGGATTTCTTATATTATAGGATTTATTTGAAGGTAAATCGCTGCAGGCAATGCAGACTTCCCTAATGGCAAGGGATCAAATGTTCCACTCCACAGACGCTATCAGGTATCCTTACCTAACATGTTTTGTGATTCATCATTTGTCCTTATTTAGGGCAAACTTTGAGGCAACCTTTTCAACTTGTATACGTCTATATAATTGTTTTCTGTGTAAGGTGATACTTTGGTAATTTATTTTGCATTATTTTTTTTGGATAGATGTGTAATTTCCCTCGAGATGCACATGCTGTGCTAACAGATACTTGCTCAGATAAGGCGGGGGAAATGTTTGTGGTTAAAATCCAAAATGAATCACAGCTTGTCGTCACTGGGTGTTAACCTTATAACCAGAGCAAACTATTTTTTTTGTCAGGGAAAAAAGCCAGTGATTTTATTAAAGATGCAAAAAAACCTTAAGTATATGTGCGTCGAGGTTATTGATCTTGGTCCAGAATGATCTTATGTGGCCACAGGGAGCACATGTTTCATATTTTCTACATGAAGTTCATTCTGAGTATACAGTTAAAACACAGTGGGGTGTGTTCTAGATGTGCCATGTTCACAGTGTTAAGCTAAAAAGTTCAGACAGCAGTTGGACGATATATTGATGTTGGACCCACGGATGACTATTACCTGTTTTTATTAGTAGCCTGCAGACACAGAAGTGAAAGTTGTTTTCTTTTAGCTTATGATGGAAAGTTAAATAAAACGCCCTGAAATTCCCGATATGACAGTTCCAGAGTATGAATAGAAAGTGGTGCTTGACAGTGCTTTTTCCTTCTTCTTTTTTACTGACATAAGTTGAGTTATAGCTACAGGAACAACTTCAAAAAATGTAACGCTCCTATATTCTTTGGAGTTTGTATGCAGTGAAAACACAAACAATGGGGCTGTCCTGAAATTTTCCCCCGAGAGACACGAACTCACACCGACCTGCTGTGGCGTCGCATGCTTGCTTTTAATGCAATGTGGGGAAAAAAATGATTGACTGTTGCCAGGAAAAACAACAAATGTCTCGAGAGTTAGAAACAATTACCTGTGTTGTAGTGCCAGGTCAATGTGCCTGTGGTCAGGGGAATAAAGACAAATAACCGCGCTAATGCACTCCTGTCCTGTGGAGATGGAGAGGTTGATAATAGACTGCTCAGCGGGACAGCTGGGTGCTGCTAAATGCCTCATTACGGGGGTGGTCTCTGTGTGTAAATGCCCATATCCAGAGTACTTCTTCGCCATCTGTCCTCAAGTCTGCTGACGACATCTACAGTCTTTTAAAAGTGAAGTTTCTTAAAACTCAAAAGCCTCTGAAGTCCTTGATTTTTGTTCATCATTTATGAAATCGCTAGTGTTGTGGCATGCTGAATTAGTTCGATGTTGAGGCCTTCAGGAATAGGGCAGTATATTTGAGGCGTTGACATAAATGAGATGCTGTATGTCGGGGGTTGAGATCAGAAGCCAGCAACACTAAATTTGCTCTGCTACAGCTTTAAATCTGTCACCATCCCCATCAGGATGGTTTCCCCCATCACCCCCTGCGCCGTGTGCCGGACATGCTGCCAAAGACAACAGAGGACTCTGGCCGCCGGGAAACAGGGGTGTTAGCTAAACTCACATGGCACAAGCTGTCTGTTTCTTCTCTTTTTTCCCCTCGCACTCTCTCTCTCTCTCTCTTTTACTCTATCTGTTTTAACCACTCTTTCAGAAGTATTGACTTGCTGGCAACACAAATCATGTCTTTCCCCCCGTGTGACAATTTGCTGCTGTCGTGATTTTCTCAACGGATGGATGGAGAGTGTTTCATGCTCCTTGTTCTTTCTCCTTTGTTTTTAGTGGGTGCTGTTCAGGCCTGTGTCTCTGATAGATGCCGGCAATCAAGCGGTAAAGAGACAAACATTACTCTAACACCACTCACATGGGGGGGGAATTGTGTCACCGCTCCCCTGAAGATAGTGTACTGGGGGATTGAGTCGAAAGCACCGGCACTATCCCTGTCACTCAATGACTGCAAGGATTTAAAACCGTCTCACTTTCTCACTCTCTTAGCTGCCCATCCATCACACACAGCTCTATATCTGTATTTCTAATCCCAAGGGTGTGAAGGTGTCTCAATTTGTCATCTTGAATAAACAGCAGTCTGTTTATCATCGCCTAATCCTCTACAGTTTAGACCCACAGAGCACTTGGAGGGATGCCACTTAGCCCTGATTCTCAGTAATGAACTGAATTGTGAAAAACAGATGATAAAACTGGACAAGGAAAATAAATGAAGTGAAATAAGTCGTACTTTGACAGCTTGTGTCTGCCAACATGAATATTTTCATTTGATCATGAAATGCATGTACTGTATATGTGAATACTATAACTGCTCAGAATCATCAGTCACATGAAATATTTACCTTGGCAGTGGATTAACATAATGTGAGCGTCATGGTGAATATGTCTTATCTTGACTATATCTATAGAGCCAAGCAACATGCTTTGGGAGTCAGTCATTTGAATAGAATAGAATAGAATGACTTTATTGATCCCAAACTGGGAAATTGTGGTGTTACAGCAGCATGTTATCAGAGCAAATAAAAAATATAAGAATAGATACAAATAAGCACTTAAAATATAAAAAAATAAGAATAAGAAGAGATTTATGAGGAAGGATTTAACTTAACATTCTTACTGGTTAAAAAAAAATAAAAAAATACAACATTTATTCAGGCTTGTCAACTGAATGTAAAAATACTTTCTGGAGGTAAGAGGTGTAAGTCTGCAAAAACAGTGATGACAGTGGTACATATGTAATAACTATATAGGGGGTTGTCCAGAGCTGTGCAATCAAAGATATATATGTTAAAGTGCAGGAGTGTAGCTACGTTATCAATATGTGAACGTGTGCATGCTACACCTGGATCAATTAATACAGATTGACATTGTTTATGTTGTCAGGTTGATCTGTATTGTCTGTGATCTGGGTGGAAGGAAAGTAACGAGGGAGATGAAGCAATCTGGTTGAAGTGGGGCGGCTTTGTTTTTTAATGAATTTATCCATTTCTTCCTGGAACTTTCGATTGGTTGGTTGGTAGACAGATGGCTGTCGGAAAATATGCACAAATGCAGGTTTAAAAAGCACAGTGAAACTCAAAGGAAATGGTCTTTGACAGGGTGATGTACAACATACACAACAATGTAATAAAGATTACCTTGACAGAATGGGGCTTATACAAAAAAAAAACAGTTATCTTAAAGTGCTGCCAACCAAAATAAAATCCTCTTTGCACACAAGTAATTAGTTGTAGGTCCTGCAAAACCTCCTGCGATGATCATATTTTTATGTTTTAAAGACTTTGTTTTGAGTTGTAAGATTATTGAAATCAGCATGAAAAGAGTAACACTTTTCAACACTGTATATTTGTTCAAATATTAGAGTTCCCCTCCTGACACTAACCAACTTTCTGCCACAATCATTCCTCTGATCTGTCCCATGTTCAATTAGAGCACATTACTCAAGTGCTCCTTGCTTATTCGTAACAGAAACGATCATGAGTGTTCCCATGAGTGTTCCCATTGAGTGTGAATTAATGTCTGTGCGACAGGCCTCTTTAATGCACTGTGAAGTCCTTAACAGGACGAGGCCCCATTTTTTTTTGCAGGATATAAAGGAGGAGTTGACAGGGTCATCCCCCCAATTCTTAAACTATTGGCAAGTATCGTTTAGCTGAAGAATTAAGGGAGTTATCTGAGTCAAAAGAAGACAGAAGAGAGAGAGGGAAACTCAAAGAGGGCATAGCGGGGTGAGAGATAGGAGAATGTGAGAATGTTTTGTTAGCCTGACCTTTGTTTTGGGCAAACAGATTTAAAGGCGACACAAAAGGGGAAAGGCAGTGACAGGCAACAGCTGATGTATGATGGGTAAAGAGAAGAAGACATGCCTGTAGGGCTCCATGGTGAAACAGCTCAATAGTCTCAAAAAGAAACCTGTATGCATATCCTGCATGAAGTTAGATGAGACTGCACACACACTCATACTCTCTCTCTCACACACACACACACTCATACTCTCTCTCACACACACACTTGTGATTGCTCCTCCCTAGCTTGACTCTTTCTCTGGGATCTCCCTTACAGGGTTTTGCAGAGAAAGGGCAGAGTGAATACAGGAACAGGACCAACTCCACACACCATGGAGAGAGACGACTCTTTTAATCTGAATGACGTCGGGGCTCCACGCTGCGCGTCTGGCAGTAATCATGGCAGAAAAGGGAAGAGGACTACGGCGCTACTGTCCCATGCAGGGGTCCCATTAGTGGGATTGATGTTGTTGGCCACCCTCCCTTTTGTAGCAAGCATCCAACAAAGTGTCCCCCGGGTCAAACTCAGCCACAGAGGTAAGGAGTGGAACATTGTTTTTTTTGCCTCTAAAAAATGTTGTTGTTACAGTCTTACATTTACTTTGAAACTTTAATGTTGAAGTGTTTTGTGTCAAGGGGCAGCCTGAGAGTAGAAATAAAAGTAATTATTAATATTTTATGACGAAAAATTCCTCATCAGTGCACTTGCTCTGAGTTGGGGTTATATTCACAGTCCCATGAGATGTAGAACGACTTTAACCCACCTGATTCCTCCTGAATTTTCTTTCTCAATCTCTTGGTTTCTGTCAGTATTTCACTTATTCATACATCTAGATGATCTGTGTCTCTATGCAACGTTTTGTCTCCACTTGTCTCTACGTATTTCTCTTGTGGCTTTGTGAGGAAAAATAAAGGAGGGATAAGTAGACTCAGTTGTACTGTGAAAGTAAACGGTCTGTGAAACATCACTGTAAAGAGAGAGAGAGTAGAGTGGGAGATTTAGGACTTACTCTGTGATCCATTACTAAATAATTCAGTTGGTGACTTTGACGGACACTTTTTGTATAACATAAATGTCTTTATGTCTTAATCCTCACATTTACATGCTTTTATAGCATAAACTTATTGTTACAGCTTTTGTCTTATTCCCATGCAGAACAGACATTTCATGTGGATGCCGTCCTTTAAAGTCTTAATATGCGATTTTTTACACTTAAATGTGATATAAATCAAGTATATCCTCTGAAAATAACTCTGTGAGTCATGACTGTCTACAATGGGTGTAACACCCGAGTCCCACTGTCTGTGATGTTTTCAGAGTTTTCAGAGTCCTATCTTCAGTTTGTTTACATCGCCAGGACGGCCGGCTGACTCCTCCCCTCGTGTATAAAAGTTGTTTAATTGAGGGACTAGAGAAAAGAAGAATAACATACTGTACTCACTGCTTAACTGTGTTTCTAGATCACGCTCATTTCAGGTAAATTTACATGCAGTGTGAAGATACCAGCATAATAAAGATCGCTAGCATTAGCATGCTAACACAACAATGCAGCACGAGTTGTTTTGGTTTCATGCTGGTGCTCAAGGGCGACATCTGCTGGATCAAAAAAATCGCATATAAAGCCTTTAATCTATTGGGTGTACTTTAACCAGGTCCAGCACTGTGCAATGCGTTCATGTTCGTGTTTTGGTTTTGCATCAACTGAGTCTGTTTGCTTTTTACCTTCAGAGAGAAAATCCTAAATTATCGTCCCCCTTAAAAACCCCGCTCTACACTCCAGTGCAAACTTTACTTCAAAGTCTCCAATCCCTCATGCTACGTTTGAGCTACAAGAAAACCACACAAATGAACTTCAGTCCATGCTCCATAAAAGTGAATCCCCACGGTGACCTTAAAGTAAACTCACTTTGACTTCCACTTCTGAAAAGCGCTCCTCTAGTCAAAGCCTTCCAAAATCCCAGAATGGCTGGAAATAGACGTATGTCATGTATGGGCCCCAGGTTTCCAACATAAATACATGCAAGTAGCCGCAGGAATAATGATTGCAAGGGACAGTGTTTACCCAGCAGTTAGGCTAGTATTTAGCTCTACAGGGTGTCTCGTTTGGTGTGTTCCCAAAGCAGCCAGCAGATAAAACAAAGCAGTTCATCATGTTACACATGAATGTATTTCAATGGGGTCACAAATCCAAGCCATCTCTTTTTGATACTCTATCAGGGTTTGTGTATTGGCTTTGACTCTGAGCATGACTGACCACGCTTTACTGTCCTCTCAAGAGAACAGCTGTCTAACTAGGCTTTGGCTTCTTTGGACCTCCTATTATCAACAGTAGAACATTGTCCATCTTTGGTCTTTTCATTCAAAATGACTGAAGCAAAAATAAATTAATCAAAGGCAAAATCACCTCCAACCTCCATTGCACACATCATGCACACATCCTGTCATCATTTCATCAGTGCACACTCTTCAAAAAGCAACACCAGCCAGCGCTGATCACTCTTCAAACAATTACATCATGTTGCCCTCCTGTAAAAGCACGGCTCCAATGAGCAAAGGGGGGAAAACGATCAAAGCGTAATCATTCATGATTTAGTGAACACCTCCAAAACAACTGGCTCTCTGCTCCGGAACTTGTGGACTTTCTGCTGAAAAAGCACGTCACAAGTTCAGGTTTCATCCCGAGTCAAAACACAGACATGTGGGCCTCCTGCCAAATAAAGAAACGATCATCTGGTTTTCAGCGTGAGTTTTAATGTGCTGCCCATTAAGACTGCTGTTAGACCCTTATTCCTAACGTGCAACCAAAGCGATCGAGTTACACCACTCTCGTTCTCCCAATAGTTTTGTAGCTTGTTTTAATTAAAAGCCACAGTTTATTAGTCATTTACAGTAGAGAGACAACTCGGGGGACATAATTCATCTCTTTGTAAACAACCCCCCCATTTGATCTTAAATTATGCCTAGAAGCAGCACATTAAAAACATATTCGAGTGAGTTTAATCTGGCTTTTCTTGTGCTCATTATTTCTGTATCGACGATGCTGTTTGCTTTAGCATTTGACCCGGGCTGTGATGTAACTCTGAGTACTCTGAAACCACGGGCAGAACATCCAATACTGCATATTAATGGCGGACTGAGGCTGTGAACATGCAACACCAAATCAGTGACCTCAACTGAGCACCAATGCACAAAACAAGCATCAATGACTTTTGTCTCAGCATGTGAAAAAGTCATTATTGCAATTTAACTTTTGCATGAGATGATTTTATTTCAGCTATTAGCTTGAGATGAAACACAGCACTGGTGATAATGAAGCATTGCCTTACTCGTCTTGTGTTACATGGTCAAAAGCAAAAATGATATCAGGGCTATTCAGCCTCAGTTGCTGCCATCACTGCAAATCCAAAGTTTCAAATTATGGCTACATATAACTCCTTAACTTACGGTATAATGATTCATGAGCATCATGTATCTTTCACTTTAAAGATGGTTTATTATTTGTTGCGGTTCACAAAGTAAATGAATACTTTATGCACCTTTAGCTTTGAAAGAGACATTTTAAAGCTTGTTGTTAGCTTAATGTTGGCTAACAGGATTTTTTTCTCTGAACTATCAGAGTTCAAGGAGCCAAAGCAGGTACTGGTGTAACTTGTTGCGGCATCTATTGGATCATATTGAAACAAAACATTAAAAAAGGGTCTGCTCGTTGAATGTCTTATGGTGTTGCATCTATTTCGTAGAACTTTTTGTGAGCCTCAGCAGAGGAGCTAATCAAGAGAAGTTTAGCAGGTCGAGGGGCTTTCTTCTTTGGAGAAAGGTGAAGAGCTTGATGCGAAGCAGCAACGGCTAAGCAGGCCGTTTCAATGGGCTCATAGTGCGGCGTGTTTACAGAACAGATTAGCTTTAGCTGCGGGCTAGCAGGCCTAATCTCTCTGTAGGGTTTAGTCTTCTCGGTGCATGATGTATGTGAAGGAGTGGGAGATATGAGCATGTGTGGGGGGCAGTGTGTGTGTTTGTGTGTGTGAGCCTGTGTATAGGAGGAGGTATTAAGCAGGATTGCATGGTGTGTGTGTGTGTGTGTGTGTGTGTGTGTGTGGGGGGGTCCTCAAAGTTCAAATATTGAAGGTTGGTAACCTCTCCAATCCTTCACACCAAAAGGGTAATCACAATGTCAATCCTTTCAGAATGACTCCCCCAGGACTCCCCCCGCATTGAGCCGGTGTTTATCCAGAGCATGTTGCTATACCGGCACAATGTAAAGAAGTTGGTGATGGAAGAGATTTCCTCAACGTCAGCGAGATCAAGGATGCAACACTGAACTGAGAGAGTCGTCTGTATTCAGCTCCCTGGAATAGATCTTGGTAGCAAGGTGTCAAAAACCAAAGCGTAATAGTAGTAGTAGTAATTATTTATTTCGGTCACAAGAAAAAAAAAAAACATTTTGACTGAAAAGGTGTAGGCTGAAGCTTGAGCTTATTACACCTACCCTTGTTACAAATCTTATTAGTTAAGACACCACTAGTTTGGTTACAAAAAACAAAACATATCAGAACAATTTTTTTCCATTTATTTCTAATAAAAGATGTGCTAAGTGCACAGTGTATTTAAACTCTTTTTTATACTGTTTATTTAGAATGTAGCAATGTTAAATCATGCTGAAATGCGATGATAATGACTTCTGATTTGTCGCACTTGAGTTTGAGAAAGTTGGTTTGAAGCCAGGATTTTATTTCTGTGATGCAGTCAGTGAGGATTGAGTGAGTGGCAGGAGTGATGGCTTTGGTGGCGATGTGGAGCTGGATGTCGTCGGCAAAGCAGTGAAACCGGAGTCCATGGCGGCGGATGATGTGACCAAGGGGGAGCATGTACATGATGAAGAGGAGGGGACCTAGTACAGAACCTTGGGGAACACCTTGGGAGAGAGGAGGAGTGGGGGATTTGCAGTGGTTTATGACATTCATATGCCAATGCTGCAGTTAAAGTATATGTGTAGTGAGCCATGGTTGCTTTAGCAAAAAGTGAATCCACCATGACATCTTCATGGTTTACGAGGTGGTTACAGATATTGGGTATCGCACACACAGTAGGAATGCGCTGTCAAATTCGTTGCTACTGTAAATCCTTTCTTTCAGCGTTTGTGGCTGAGGTGTTGAACCACAGAGGATTAGACAGTTTCAAGTCAAGCTAAGACATGTTTTTTCTCTGACAGAGAAAAACCCGGGGCTTGTCTTTCGGAGCTTGACAGAGTCATATTGGCTAAAGACTCAGCATATACTGTCATTTAATCCTAGTTAGTGCAAAAAATGATGTGCTGCAGGGATGTCTTAATCTCTGCCTGCATGTGTGTGTGTGTCTGTCTTTCTCTCTCTGGATTAGAACTTCTGCAGGCTGGCAGCGTGTCTCTCTTTCTGGGCCCCTCCGATGGTCTCCACTCCCACTCGCTGCTGTTGGATGAGGAGAGAGGCCGTCTTCTTTTCGGGGCTCGGGATCACATCTACCTGCTTGACCCTGACAATCTGGCCCACGCTCCCAGAAAGGTGCAGTATGCTGACAAGAGACATGACGTAGGAATGTGCAAATAAAGGATTTTAAAAAAAAATATCCGATCGTAGTTTCAGGATTAAAAAAAAAAGCTCAAGAATGAGTTAAGTGTGATAAATAAACAGCAGTGTTTTGTGTTATGTAGCTGCCCAGGCCATTTACTATACTTGAAGGGTTGTTTAGGTGGACTTTGGAGTGTTTACAGCAGTTTCAAGAGTATCCACACCCTCTGACAGAAGGCTAGTGCTGGAAGAAATTCAAGTTTGAACAGGAGACAGAGTATCCCCCCCCCCCACACACACACACACACACACACACACACACACACCACACATCCCCAGACATGCTTGGAGTCACTTTGACTCACAGATGCACTCTGTCATTTACTGCTCATCGTTATAAGGATACTCAGCTCGCAGCAGCTCAGGGCGCTTATACCTGTCTTACCGATAAATGCGATGATGCAAGGTATTATTTTCCATTACCTTGTGGTGTTTCTCCCGCTGAACTGCACTCAGCCATGTGTATTGTTTTTAGTGAAGAGCTCACTTTTCAGTCAACAGCATGTCTGGTGAGGTCAGGGTCATCCTGTGAGAGGGGGGAAAAAAAAGCTTACACACACAAGTTTGTGCACACTTTGGAGTGTGCAGCTTCAGACATAAACACAAGCTCACAAATGCACTTGGACTGATGCCATATGTTGGAGTTTGTAGATGTGAGTGTGTGTTTATGCAGCTGAGGCTGATACTGAGGATGAGGAGGAGGGGGGGGGGCAGTGTGTTTATTTGATTTTTATCTGGTTGTTTTAACTCGTAGTCTTGCTCTCAAAGTGTTGCCTCTCCGGTCATTGATACTGATGTCGGGGAAGATATGGAGCAAAAAGTCTGGCTCTTTCTTTTGCTTTTGGGACTTTGCCCTCGATGGCGAACTTGATCTAGAAAATGCAAACTTTTGTGTATATCATTTAATGAAGAGAGATACCTGAAAACCTGACCTCCGGGCACTTTAACACATTCAGGTCATTTGCTCCCAAGCATTTCAGTTGTTTCTACTTTGATTGTCCGGAGATAGCTGCTCCTTTTTAAACTGTTTCCACAGTCTTTACATTCCACAATATAAGATGGTGTAACCAGGCCATTTATCATTCCATTTTAAAGGGATACTTCACCCGTTGAAACATGAATCTGTATTGACATTGGGTCATATATGTAGAAATGTGAAATACATTTTGAAGTTGGTGCCTTCTTGGCAGAGAAAAGACAGAAAGTGTCTTTTTGGCTCATGTGGATGAAAGACACCAAATCCCAGAATGCACAGCACCACAGGCCACTCCCACTAAGGTCCTCTAGTTCAGTATCAGAAATACTTTATTAATCCCAGAGGGAAATTCGATCGTTACAGTTTCTCCAAAATATACAATATAGCAGGAGAAATATAGAAATAAAAACATTTACAGACATATTTACTTAAACACATGAGGACATTTCCTCAACTGATTCAGAGATTTCTTCCAGAATTAGTATCTTGGAAAGTCCTGGCAGAAAACAGACTCTATGTCTGTGTCCATAGGCAAACAGTGAGAGCACCGATGAGATGGCTGCTGCCGACAGGCCGGTCTTGTGTCGCGGCAGCCAAGACACAAAACCGGCCTGTCAGCAGCAGCCGTCTTGCCTCTATATTTATATTTTTTTGCCATTATCAGCTTTCTCCATAGAGCCTGTTAATATGGCGGACGTTAATTTTTTGGATTCTGGGAGTGAGTTCCCACCCACTGATCTGTGATTGGTCTGCAGCTTCAGTGGTCGAAAATATGAGGAACTAGCGTTGTAGTTTCACCCCGCTAACCGCAACAGCTTCCAGTGACGCAATATCACTGGAAGCTCCTTTTCAGACTCAGAAATACAAAGATTTCTCATCTCAGGGGAAAATGAGGGCGGGATGCACGACCATTCAAAAATACTACCAGGTTTCTAATGATACAAAGCTTAATGCAAATGGGTGAAGTATCCCTTTAAGTTTTTTTTTTTTTTTTACCCAGGACACTCCATGTACTCAGTCAACACATCCCACTGCACAATGGTTTTCTCTATGAATTCCTCCGTGGCATGCAATGATTTGAAATCATGAGATGTTTTCGATAATTGCTCTGGTGTGTTTGCATGCGTAATCGGGCTCTGTCGACCCATGAATAAGTTTGGCGATAGCTCTCCTTGGTAGGATTTAGGCGAGGTAACAGGCTAAGCACATAAGCCTGTTATAACACATGTGTGAACATGGATGGAGGGGAACATTGAAGGGACGCTGGATGATATACCCGTACCAGCACCAGGAGGAGCTAATAATCCCATTATTGCGATCAGTTTATTTTTTTAAATAATCCCCATGGTGTTGCAAAAGAGGGATGATTAATACATTTACGTTGTTCCCAATATTTTATAAAACACTTTTTTTTATCAACATACAGTACTGGGAAATGCACTGACTGAAAGTGAGCAGAATACAAAGTCAGTTTAAAAAAAGTAACAGAACAAACACCAAGGCTAAATTCTTGTGGCAGTTTGTTGCACAAATGGTAAAGACCCTTTTTGGTTTTAACCTTAAAGAGACACTTAAAAGGAACTTCAAAAAGATCTTGGGATGCACTTAGGCTCCTATCAGGTTGGGGGGTGGGGGGGTCAGGAACTTTCAAACTGGTACCCTTTAAAGTGCTCCATAAAATTTGATATTCTTCTTTAAAAAGAACAAGTGCTTAGCGTAAAGTAACCACAACAGGAGTATAAAAGAGTCTCCTTTTGGGGATTGTTGTAAGGCTGGCTAATGGATTTGGAACCTGTTGCAGCTTAAACACATTATATTCTTTTTTTTTTTTTTGGCTCACACAGGTATAAAGTGCATTACAATCCTCTGGATGTTTGTAGATAAAGCTCTCATCTTAAAAAAAAAAAAAGAATTATGCTAGTGTGTAAATGAAAAATAACCGTATAAGGCAGTATTTAACTTCTTAGGCTAAAGGCCAACATGCTACATTATGAGATGTTAAGTATGTCTCCTTTTGTTTATTCATCCTTAGATTCACTGGCCTGCTCCCCGGGACCGAGTGGAAATGTGCAGACTAGCAGGAAAAAATGCGAATGTAAGTGCTGCAGAGGAATGAAGTGAAACAGAAATTTGCTTCATACAAAAGAAAAAAAAAAATCATATGGAATTTTTTGGTGTTTTCACACACCATGAAATGCATCATACATGTTCTATCAGACTTTCTGTACTCCTTCTTCATTGCTGGTTTTCTGCCCTTGCTCATACTAGTTGGAGTGTGCCAACTTTGTCAGGGTCCTCCACAACTACAATCGAACACACGTCTACGCCTGTGGGACGGGAGCGTTCCATCCCAGCTGCGCTTTCGTCGAAATCGCCGGACGCAGAGAGGTAAAGTCGATATGAGTCAGCGAAACCAGGCAAAAAAAATGATTATAGCACAATTTAGGAGTTTGGTTTATATTTTGAAATGAAATAATTCTTCCTTTTTTTTATCTTAGGATGGTGTGTTCCAGCTTCTTTCTTCTACAGTGGAGTCTGGCAGATTGAAATGTCCTTTTGATCCCCTGCAGTCATTCACTTCAATCCTCACAGGTAAGATGAGGCCATCACAGAAAAAAAAAAAAAAACTCTTCAGCATTCCTCTGCCTGCCTTATCGTCAACGCACCAGAAATGTATTTCTGAACGTCACAATTTTACCCGGAACGAAATTGTGTTTCTCCCTTAAGTCTTTATCCTTCTTAAGTGTTTATGCATCTTTTTGCCC